TTTAGAATACAGAACCACAACCTACTTCTTGTTGAGACAGAAGGTTCATACACAGTTCAGCAGAACTACACAAACATGGACATTCATGTGGGACAATCTTTCTCATTTCTAGTCACTATGGATCAGTCTGGTAGTAATGACTACTACATTGTTGCCAGCACAAGGTTTACTAAAACACCATCCTCCTCTGCTAAAGCCACTGGAGTTGCTATCTTACACTACTCTAGCTCCCAAGGACCCGCTTCAGGTCCACTCCCTGATCCTCCTAATGAATTGGACACATCTTTCTCAATGAACCAAGCACGTTCCATAAGGCTGAATGTCTCAGCTGGAGCTGCTCGTCCAAACCCTCAAGGATCATTTAAGTATGGTCAGATTACAGTAACTGATGTCTACGTGATTGTGAACAGACCACCAGAGAAGATAGATGGGTGGTTACGTGCTACTCTTAATGGTATATCGTATTTGCCTCCTTCAACACCTTTGAAGCTTGCTCAGCAGTACAACATCTCAGGGGTGTATAAGCTGGATTTTCCGAAAAGACCGATGAATAGGCATCCTAAGGTTGATACCTCTGTCATGAATGGGACGTACAAGGGATTCATGGAGATTATATTTCAGAATAGTGACACTATTGTTAAGAGTTATCACTTGGATGGTTATGCATTCTTTGTTGTTGGGTAAGGTTGCATTTAATTATATGATATCAGATTCATTTACATATCATGAAGTTGATTTTGATGTTTGTTTTGAAGGATGGACTTTGGTCTGTGGACAGAGAATAGTAGAAGCTTATACAACAAAGGGGATGGGGTTGCTAGATCAACTACTCAGGTGTTTTGTCTTTGACAACTTAAACTGATATGTTGCATGAGTTTCTCACATGGTTCTAAACTGCTGCTTGTGTTTACAGGTGTTTCCTGGTGCATGGACGGCTATCTTAGTTTACTTGGATAATGCTGGCATGTGGAATCTTCGAATAGACAATCTCGCCTCATGGTACCTTGGACAAGAAGTGTACTTGAATGTAGTGAATCCTGAGATTGATACTTCTGAGAATTCCATTCCTCAAAACACCATTTACTGTGGTCGGCTCTCACCATTACAAAGGTAAGATTCTCATAAACACAAGATGCTCTTGTAATATTTCTTAAATTTGGAAGAAGAACGTTTCACAACTAGTGGTTGATGGAGTATTTTTTCTAGTATCATAGGTCACATGTAGTAGTTAATGGAGCTAAACTTGTTGAGCTAACCTGTGTCTTGGTTTGTCTGCAGGGATCAGTCACAGAGAGTAAACTTCTCAGGATCACCAAGGTCCATATTGACGACAAGCAGAGGGATCCTCCTTGCTCTTTTTGCAATCTTGATTAGTACTTTAGCCAGATGAGACTTTGAAGTTTTCAAGCAGGAGAGTAGGAAGCAGCCACTACCATCATTATTAGAAATTGATAATGTTGGTGTAGTAGCTTGAAGGTTATAGATGCTGTTTTGCTAGTTATGGTGTAGAGATTATTCAGCTATCCATCAAGGCATCAAAATGTATGTTTATGCTTGAATTGTAATAGAATATTATTTTTCAAGTTGATAGCTAACTGTGGTGGAGAGAAGAAGTTAGTTAAAAAGACAGCAGTAATCTTGTTTGTAATAAAGAACAAGATTACTGATTCTACTGCCAAGAATTTTGTTAAGGACATCTCAAAAGATACTATTATGTCTTTAAGCTATAAACTCATGCACAAGAACATGAGCACTTGTATTAAGGATGCTACGAATGATATTATGGACCTTTTTGATATGTGTGAAACCAGTTCCTATTGTATATTACGTTTGAGCCATTTGAACTGCTATTGTTGTGTGTGTGGAAGTTGAATCTCAAGCCATCGTTTCGCCATCTCGTTTAGCCTCCCATGTACTCTCAGATTTGAGATTTCTCTGGACACCTTAGGCACCAACTCGTCACCCTTTTGAAACATCTGAAAACATGGTTAATTTACGTTAATTTAAATCAGCACTCCAACAATTTTTCACCAAGAAGGTCATATAAAACTGTGAAAAGACGGTACTTACTAATTACTATGTGCATAAACAAGGGTAGAGAAGCCAAACCAAAAAATAACTCCAATCAGTTTCGACCAAGATCCTTGGAACTTCTTGTTCTCAGGTTTTTCTATCAACCAAACTATAATGCCCGTCAAGACAAAGAAAGCTGCCGTTATTAATCAAAACAATGGTTAGTACATGGCTACTAAGTGCATATGCAAGATTGTAGTAGTTACTACCATTGGACCAAAGTATGAATTCAACTTCATAGTTGAAAGGACTAATGGAAACTAGGATGACATCTATACAGAACCCTTATGTAGTTACTTCTTTTGTTACTGGATCAGTCGCCACCTTCACCAGTCTTGGAAACCTGTTGCTTGATGTGACCAGAACTCTCAAATGTTTTTCTCTTGCTTTCTCCTAGTTTGCGCCCTTGCGGACTTTGAATAGTCCAACCACGCCAGATTATGGTCTCTAGATTGTAGTGAGTAGAAGAAGACAAGTGTCTTCTATTACTAAAACTACCATCAGAGTTCCATAATCCCATCCTTCTCTCACCTGATCCTACCAAATTCACAATCTCAAACTTGTTGGACAACAACTTCTTATGCTTCACATGGAAGTCACAACTCAAACCCTTGAACCTACACTGTGTGATTGCCTCAAGAAGAGTTAATGATACATTTGACTTCCTGTAATGCCCTTTGCCTCGGAGGAAGAATCATGCGTTGCATGGATAAAATGACTGTATTTGCGCAATGACAATGAAGCAAGAGAGTTAAGTGAAATCACAGGAACCCTAGCTTTCTCCCCAAGCTCCGCCAAAAGCTTCGTCTCAAGCAACGAGTTCCCGCCAATTATTGCCTGCACTCCTACAGTTTGCAGAAGATCCACAGCAGTCTCATTCGCAAAGACAGAACATACGTTAAGATGGTGAGTGAATGTAGACAGAGAACATACATAGATGGTAATCACTGTTACCAGAAGCAAGAGCAAGGAGAGGTTCCCCACGAGAGTTTCTGACCGAAAGAGAGACTCTTGTTTTGTAGCCACTGTTGGCGGCGTAGAAATCGGAAAGCGCCAGGGAAACAGAGCTTTTCACTATCTTCCTCTCCACGGTACTCAAATCCAAAACCAACCCGACCCGGACCTGGACGCGAAATGGAGCCCATTCATGCTTGGATCCGGAGCCTTTTGTATTTACACAACCCAACCCAACCCATGCCGTGTTTTGTTTTTTCCTCTGTATTACTATTATGGTAAAGAAGTTTCAGATTTTCAAAAGTTACAAACACCTGTCTACTTTAACTTTCATTTTTTTTCTGTCAAAAAGGTTTTGTATTTTTCTTTGGACTGTAAGATCTTATGAGGGTAGACATTTAATATTCAAAAGGAAATTCAGTGTAGGTATCCGAGGTCTTACTCATTTGTCACTCAAATCATTATTTAGGAATTGGATTCTATTTTTCTAATAATGTTGTCAAAGAAAATTAAGGTAAGTGGTGATTCTTTAGTATGATTTTTTTGTTAAAACAGATCAACTTTAGCAACAACCAAAACCACACACACACGCTCAACATTTGTCAAAGGTTGTAAAAGTGAGTGTGCTTTCTTTTGGTATTGATTTATTAACCCCACTTGTTATGGTTGTCTCTGCATCACCTTGTGTAGTTCACTAAGGTTTGTGACTGTGGTTTTTGTGTAACAGACTTCTTCGTTTTGACTAAACATTGGTTAGATTTTACCGCCGTTTTCCTCTTTACTTGTTAGTGTATAGCATCCCTTCCTCTGCTCTAAGTTAACCGTATAAGCTCTCTAGGTATGATGTACTCTATGAAGGATATGTAGACGTAAAATGAAGTCATGCCAATTTTTTCGGGTGTTAGGTCTGGGACTACACGGGCCTTGGATATACAAGATACAATGCTAAAGATGCCGATCATTATATGTTGGGGTAAGCATATATCGCTGTATACATCTGCATCCTTGATGATTGTAATGGACGTGTACGCATTCTTGGTATCATCCAGGTGTGTTGTGGAGAATAAAGTTCTTCAGAGTTCTCAGCTATCTTACGTACATGTATTTTGCTTTCTTGGGTCCGTCCAAGTTTTATACTTTCAGATTTAGTGAAATTTTGAATTGATTACATGTACTTAATCACTTTACTGGAGCTATATTGATTACAGAGTAGTGGAGCAAAAAAGGATCTTAAAGGGTTTAGCTCAGAAGGTTATATTGATGGGAAGTATTGCAATGTTGCTGGGAAGAAGGCTCTTGAAAGTTCTGGTCTTCGTGGTGATAAGCTTAGCACGGTACTACTCTTTTACATTGATCAAAGTAGCTTTGAGACTCATTCAAGTTATGATGCTTGTTATGTACTTCAAATGATTGTTTTACTAAGAGACAACATAAAAGTTTCTACCAATAATCTACACATTTACCTATGTTTCTTAATATTGTTTCTTAATAAAAAAATAATAATAAAAAATGCTAAGAGACATTAATTTGTCCCTGCAATAATGTTGCTCTAAGGGAAAGCCCAATTTTATACATTGGAGAAAACCAAACAATCAGGAAAACACTAGCCACATATTAATCAGATTGTGGAAATATATTTTTAACTTAATTATTCTCTTTAAATTTTTACAAAACAAAGATATCATTTTTACATCAAGTGTTTCTTTATTTTTATTTTCCGAAGCTTAGAAAGTGACGTAGATAATCTGATTACAAGCTATGATTTGTATTTTACATCAAGATAGGTAAACTATATTACATCTGCAAAAAAAAAAAGAAAAAAAAGAAAAAAGAAGAAGACAAGTTACATCTATAATTTACAAACACGGATTGCTCTAAATATCCATTATAATTTATACCTAAGCATGCACAAGAACATGAGGTTCAACTTCACTTGTATTAAGGATGCCACAAATGATATAATGGACTTTTTGCTACATGTGAACCAATTCCTGTTGTATGTTACGTTGAGCCATTTGAACCGCATTCACGCCAATGGGTTCATCGATGGGACTAGGAGGCATAGTTCTTGCGAAGAGGATCCTGAGATGTACTAGTCGCCTCGAGAGGAATATATTGACTAAACTCACAACATCTTCCCATCTTTCCCGGAGCCAGTGAATGAGAAGTACTGCGAGAGCAAAAGCTGAAGAAACTCCCGTGATCATAAACACACCGCGGAATCTGTCAAGGGATATAGGATTTGATGTATCATCTGTTGCGTATGGAAGTTGAATCTCAAGCAATCCTTTCGCCATCTCGTTTAGCCTCCCATTTTCCCTCAGATTTGTGATTTCTCTGGAGACCTTAGGCACCAACTCGTGACCCTTTTGAAACATCTGAAACATGGTTTAACAAACCAACACCTTTTCTGAGCAAGTTAAAAAGAAGATGACGACTAAGAAAACTGATGAAGATACATACAAATCCGAAACCATTGGTGGTACTTTGTGTCTTGACCATGAAAAACTTTCCAGGATTCTCTCCAAGGATGACTCTGAGGTATGGCAACTCATCGACAACAAATGTGGCAGTTTTGTTCAACAAGAGTTTAGCATATTCTTCAGAACTATTGACACCCTTCTTACACATTATCTGGATGCTGGGAGTGGCGAAAGCCGCCATCGCGATGCGTGATCCCAATAGGTGGCCTACGTGGTTCTTGTTGGAGTTGAATCTTATCTGTTGCATCGTCATCATTGATGTCAGAGTTGCCGTATAACTTGTAGTCAATATGACCACTGCAAATACCCAAACTGTAACTACAAATCTTGATAAGTTGTGTTTTAGCTTCTCCCCTGTCACAAATGGTAAGCATCAAAAGGTAAAATCTAACTTTATAAATTGATAGTGTTAGAATTATATATTCCTTTATTAATTTGTGAAGTTATTAATTATCATAAATTTTCTTTTTACACTACAAGAAAAGCAATTTTAACGAGGAAAAAGAAGACTCGTAAAATAAGTTTTAAATAAAATAAGTATATAGTAGTCTCACAGTTTATGTGTTGATTAAAGTTCATAATTCAGTTTTAATATTGTTCTTATTGGATGACTTAGTGTCTAGAAAATATATATCATAGATGTTTTATGATGTAATATAACAAAACATATTGAAAGGTTTTGAAGTGTTCAGAAAAAAAAGGAGTGAACTCCATTGTAAATGAAAACAAACATTACATTTTTGACATTTTTATTTTTATATTTTAACTTCAGTGGTTTGAAAAAAAATATAAATATATATTTCTAATCTTGTTTCTTTTTATTTAGTTTAACTAAACTTTTAATTCATTTTAAATTTTAATCAATTTAGGATTGCATTTTTATAAAAATAATTTCTTTATATTAAATTTTATTTAATGATTTATTTATTTTAAATATGTCTCTTGTTCCGTATTAAATATGTCTTTATACAATATATTCTAATAAATTTGAATTTTTGTTGGTTTTATTTAAAATACGTTAAACTGATAAAATCCATATGTTAACTAACCTAATGATACAATATATTTAAATAAAATTTAATCATTTCACTATAACAAAACATGACATATAAGTTGATATAAATATATATTTTAATTATATATATATACAAAACATGACATATAAGTTGATATAAATATTATTTGTACTTATATTTAGTTTAGTTTTATTAATTTGATATATATATATATATATTTATTTATAATGCTGATATATGAATTATTATTTATTAATATATTTCAAAACAATTGCTAAAATAAATATTTATATAGAAAAAAATACTTTAATGACGATATAAGAGTTATTAGTCATTACCATATTTAGAAAGCATTGACAAGAAATAGAAATCTAAAATTGTACATGTCAGAATGCCATGTAATAGTTTTACAAAATCATGTCATTTTATTTTTGAGAATAAATGTGATGATTACACATATACAAATGACTTCGTATATAATATTTAGGGATAATATATATAAATTAGTAATTTATAATTTAAATAGAACTATAAATTTACGTATAATATAAAAATTATTTTCATATATATTATTAAACTAGGTTTTTTAGCCGTACGTTGCGAACACAATTTTTTATGAATACTTATTAGTATGTTTTATTAATTTAAAAATCAGCATAATAAATTATTATTTATATTTTCAAAGAGCTTAATTCTAACATCAAAATAATTATAAATTTTTCAAATAGTTTAATTCAAACATAAAAATAGTTATAAATGACAACACTCACATATTAGAAATTGTTTAGAATTTGTTTGCTTAGTTATATTTAATTATAAATTTTATATATTAATTTTAAATTTTGTTATAGAAATATATTTTTAAGATAAAAACATAATAGATAAAAAATTAACTTATTTTCTAAAGATATAATATTGTTAATATAAAATCATTTTAATTACATAACATAAATTAAATATAAAATTATCAAAATATGCTAAATAAGCAAAATTACCTAAAATCATGGTGAAGTTGATAAAGTATTTATTAGTTTACATTTATTAAAGACCAGCGTAATGAAAAATAAGAAAAATTAACTAAAATTATGGAGAAGTTAACAAATATTTATTAGTTTATATTTTATTAATTTTAAAACCAGAAAATAAGTTATTATTTATGTTTTCAAAAATTACATCAAACATCAAATTAATTGTAAATTTCAAAGTTCACATATCAGAAATATTTTAGAGATTATTTTTTAACTATTATAAAATATATTTATAAAAATATTTTTGGTTGATTTATATTTAATTATAAATTTATATCTTAATTTTTCAATTTTTAAATAGAAATTATATTTTCAAGAGAGTAACATAATACATAAGAATTATCTCATTTTCTAAAATTTAATATTACTAATATAATTTTTTTTAATTATATTAATAAATTATATATAAAAAATATTAAAACTATAACAAATAAAAATTACCTAAAATCATGGAGAAATTGACAAATCAGCAAATTTACTTCTCAAATAATAATATAGTTGCTACATTTTAAATTAGCTTAATGTTACAAATTCTAATTTATCATATTTATTAGCTTATAGAGTTTTATTTAATAAAATTTATAGTTTGATAAAAAAGAGTTATTTTATAGAATTTCTAAAATGTAATTTAAAGGTCACTTAAATTTCTTCTGACAAGATATGTTGGTACTTACTGTGAGCGTAAACAAGGGTAGAGAAACCAAACCAAAGCATAACTCCAATCTGTTGTGACCAAGATCCCTGGAACTCCTTGTTCTCAGGTCTTTCTATCAACCAAACTATAATACCCGTCAAGACAAAGAAAGCTGCACTTGTTAACCAAAGGTCTGGTGTTAAAGGTTGGAAGAACACCCACGTACTTCTATCCCTTGGTGCTATAATGCCAACACCCTGTTCAGTGAATGGCATCGTAAAATCAACATAACTTGATCTATTGGAAGTGATTGTAAGATCGCCAACGGCCGCATCATATTTGTCTTTCTGTGTGACGAAATACAAAGTTTTAAATGTAGGTACGTAGCTTAGTTTCCACACACTCTACATAGGTGAATAGAAAAAGTTTGTAATCATACCTGGACACTAAGTGCATATGCAAGATCGTCATAGTTACTACTATTGCGCCAAAGTGTGAATTCCACATCATAGTTGAAAGGGCTAATAGAAGCTAGGAAGACATCTATACAAAACCCTTCAGCAGTTAGTTTTTTTGTTAGTGGATCAATTGTCACCTTCACCAGTCTTGTGAACCTGTTGGTGGATGTGACCAGAACTCTCAGTGTTTTTCTCTTTTTCCCTCCTTGTTTATGCCCTTGCGGACTTCGAATAGTCCCACCGGGCCAGATTATGGTTTCCAGCTTGTTGTGTGTAGAAGAAGGCAAGTGTTTTGTGTTGCTGAAAGTACCATTAGTATTCCAGAAGCCTACCCTTCTCTCACCTGAGCCTATCAAATTCACAATCTCAAACTTGTCCCACAAGAAACTCTTTTCCTTCATTTGGAAGTCACCACTCAAACCCTTGAATCTACATTGTGTGATTGCCTCAAGGAGAGTTGATGATGCATCTATCACCCTTGTAACTTCAGCTGCTCTCGCCAGTGCCCATGCTACATCGTGAGCCCATACACCAGAGATGCTCAACCGAGTTATCTCAGACCCAACATCTTCCTCATGGCCTAGTGATTTTCTCCATCTCAAAGTGAAATTGTGAAGCGCTTTTGACATTGGAACGTAAGACCTAAAACCAACCACACCTTCCATTGCCTCTTTTGAAAAACCATCGCCAGTGCTCTTATGGAAGCTGTTCATGCTTTTGGCAGTGAGGATCCAAGCAAACCCTTCAGACATTATCCCTAACTTCCCAACACAATGGAAGAGGTGAGTTACAACAAGTTCAGACAAGTGCACCACAAAGACAACTGTTCCCAAGTTCTTCAAATTCCCTAACTGATGCATCATAACCTCCTCTGTTGAAGAGACAGTAAAACCAACCTTGGACCATATACGAACGCCCTTCTCATGGAAATGGTCCACCATGAGCTGCATACCCTCTCTCCACTCATCCTCATCCTCATAAACAAGAGCAACACTGTTCCAATCAAATCTCTTCATGAAAGCTGTAATGCCCTTGACCTCGGATGAAGAATCATGCGTTGCTTGAATCAAATGACTGTATCTTCTCAACGACAGTGAAGTCGGAGAGTTAAGTGAAATCACAGGAACCCTAGCTTTCTCTCCAATCTCCGCCAAAAACTTCGTCTCAAGAAACGAGCTCCCGCCAATAATCGCCTCCACTCCTACAGTTTGCAGAAGATCAACAGCTGTTTCGTTCGCATGGAGAGAAAGATTGTTAGTGAATGGAGACAGAGAGAGAGAGAGAGGAAGGTAGAAGAATGGAATATGTTACCAGAAGCGAGAGCAAGGAGAGGCTCTCCTTGAGAGTTTCTAACTGAGAGAGAGACTCTTGTTTTGTAATGACTGTTGAGTGTGTAGAAATCAGAAAGCGCCAAGGAAACAGAGCTTCTCACTATCTTGCCCTCCACGGAACTCAAATCCAAAACTAAGCCAGCCCTAACTCGCTGTTGCCCCCACCCGGAGTCTTCATTAACGTCGTCGTTTTGACTCGATGCAAAACAGTTGGAAATAAAGATAAGGACAAGCAGAAGAAAGGAAACCAGAGTTGGATCTTGGATCCCAAACCCCTCCATTAGACAGAAGTTTCCAATTACAAAGACATGTGTACTTGATTACTTCTATTTATATAACTGACCCCTATCCTTAAGCCAAATATTTTTTTTTGTTTTATTGACGTACAATTTGTGTTGGTCATTATTTAAAAAAAAGGTCTCGTGTTTTAACGTTTTGTTGATTTTTATTAGATAAAGTATTACATACACAATCCATAGATAAATAAAATACATTGTTACACTGTTAAATAGCTTTTTTGATTTTTTTCTGCTAACAATAATTTCTATTATGATTAAAAAAAGTGCCAGCGATTTGGGGGGCCTAAAGTTATATATTGTCTTGGTTTTACAGAGGAGACACGTCTTTGTGGAAGTTATGGTACCACTGGTCAATGAGAGAGGGTTCTTTCTTTGGATTACATATTCCAAACGAAAATCAGTGAGGTTCCTCTTTTGTAATTCCAAACATTATACTTTCTCTGTTTTGAAATATTTTTTTTTTTACAAAATAAGTGTGATTTTCGACTTTCAATGTAAAGTTTATTAATTCTATATTATAATTTATTTTTCCCATTAGTTAAATATATTAGGTGTATATATAATTGTGTTTTATATATAAAATATGTAAAATTAATTGTTTTCCTAATCCATTTGCACAGAGCTAAAACGACACTTAATATGAATTTTAAGGATTCAATTTCTATTTTTCTAATGATTTTGTTTCTAATAAAAAATCTGTATTTTATTTTGGTACTTTAACCTGACTTGCTAAGTAACCCCCCTTCTAGATTGTATTAGCTTTTGTTCAACCAATTATTATATAGAGACAGCAACAATATTATACGGGCCTTTATTAAAAAAAAACAATATCATACGGTCGAGGATAAATTCTATATATCTAGAAGTGAACCATATCTTATGATCTTGGTCAACATCCTTTGTCCTTGGATGAGATTAGAAGGCAACTTCAGGCCAACAATCTTAGTCGTGTTTCTATCACAAGAAATGCTACTTAGTTTAGTTACATTTGACGGTAAAAATTAAATTTGTTCCCTAGTAAGAGAAAGGAAATAACTGTTGTAAGAGAATACTATGTTTGCTAGGAGAAATAATCTAGAACAATATGAAAGCAAGAAGGATGGCATATGCTTTGGCCATGTTAATTATTGGTGCGGAGACAAGAGCTTGAAAAGTCAGTTTATAATATATGTTCAAGGAAAGGTGGAATCTGCGCATCAGCAATTTCAACGCGTATACTTCTTTCAGTAGAATGAAGGATTTTTAGTGGAGGCAAGTGACCTAGAGAGTACATGCAAAGGTGGAAACCTAAACATTGACTTCTGTTGCAACGGAATAAAAAACGACATGGAAAGAAGTGACAAGTTGTTGTTACTGTGATGTGGGACACAAAGTGATTTCAGGACTTGGAGGCCTGGTTGGACGAAGTTTCTAAGAAAGTGGGGACCTATTGACCAAAAAAAAAAAAAGAAAATGGGGACCTCGAATACGTGACAAGCATCTTACAAATATTCGCATCGAAACTAATGAATATTTGTAAGCCAATTACGTATGGTAATCATGAGTTGAATTGATGGATACATACTCAATTTACAAAGAAATAGTAAACGAAGAAATTGTTCTAAAAAAATTTTTTTGGCAGTAGATAAAGGGCCAGGATAATCATGAAAAAGCTTTCAGATCCAGGCGAGTGATACTGCCGAATTATATGTCGCATGGTATATATATATGCATGCTTTCAATATATTGACTGGATCATGATCAGCTGAACTTCCCTTCTTTTTTCCAAGATCGACCAGAAAAACACAAAGAACAAGTGAGTAGCATAAATATACAAATTCACAAAATCAAACTACAGAAGGATTAAAGGATTTAGCTAAACGAGAAAAATATAGACGTTTGTTAATGTAAGATAAATGAGCTACACAAACTAAAACACACAGTAAATTAGGGATAAGTAATTTCAAGAAATTCGACTAGATTGATCCTTTTTAAAATACATACAAGTTTTTTCTAAAAACAATCTTTCAATCAAGCTCAAGACAAACTTTGACTTGTTGATTAGCCTACACGTTCACAGACCTGTGATAATCTCTGAACCACTTAAACTCTTGACTCCTAGATGTTTTGCTTCTCCTTATTCGGCGTACAAAACCTCTATGTTAAAAGCTCTCCCTATGTGTTGAACGGCAACACCATGCCAAAAACCTCTTTTATAATCGTAGAGGAAACCCTAGACCTAGAGTTCTACCTAATGGAAACTTTCCATTTCTTTTACTTCAGCGAATAAGCCAATCTTCTTTTGTCTTTGAGTCACTTGCTTCTTCTTCAAGTTTTTCCTTTTTAACAAACTCTTCATTAAGTCTTCCTTTTAATGACTCCGTCTTGTTACGTGCTTCTTACGGCTTCATAAACTCATGTCGTAGTTCATGTCGCACTTCATGAACTACTTCTGATTTGCTACACCATCGTCTTGACCATACATCTTCAATCTCCCCCTTTTTAATTCGTCGTCTCACAAGTACCTGAGATGAGATAGAAGGACAAGCACACACATACAAAAAATAACACATGTTGCACTAACTCTTAACATAATCAGACCAACCAAGAACCAAAAGCATACTTAGATTATCTTTAAAAAAAACGGGTTCAAGCATTAATACATGTTAACACAGATAGTACAGAAAAGCTCCCCCATAAACTGACATTGTCTAAAACATAAAATAATTGCAACACGTGGTGCAATTTAAAACAACATGCTTAAAAAAATGATTGCTCCCCCACAAACTTAGGTCATTCTACCACTTATTCTTCAGTTTCTCCCCCTGCTTGTGAGCACACGGATTAAAAACATAAGTAATTAAGTACCAATTAGAAACGAAAAGAAATCTAACCTGGCACCGAGTTCTGAAGCTCCTGAACAACATCATCCAAAGTCTGAAGAACCCGAGTTGTGTCCTGTAAGACTGCTTGCAGATCTGCCCTGGTGAGTGGACCCTGAGGAACAATTGTTCAGAACTACTACAGGAAGAGGCGACTCATCGTTGTCCTTCAGATTTGCATCCAAAGCCGGGTCATCAGTTGGAGTAACTTTCGAAGGGTCCTCCAAGGAGGTCACATTTGTAGCTTCTGGCACATGCACTATCTCACCAACTGCCTTAAACGGATCTGTCTCAATAACCGAGGTGCCCTGATTTTCATCACTTTCTTCTGACCGGGCCTTTTCCTGAGCCGTGTTGAAGGATTCAATCTCTTCAGTAAGTTCCGGTATATTTGAAGATGGAGGCATATCGTTTCTTGGTGGCGGTGACTAAGGCTTGCCATCAGAAAGTTGTCTCCGACTTGACTCGGTCTCTGCATGTTTCTCACTTGTAATAGATTGACTTCCTGGAGCTTCATTTTGTGATTTTCCCATCTCGAAATGAATGCTTTGTGCGATTTGAAGATGATTAGCAAAGAAGGCCGAGCTTGAGTAACTTCTAATTGCACGAAGAGATTTTCTAGGGTTAGGGCCCCACTACTTCCCTTAACTAAAACAAGATTCGATAAAGTGTTCCGAAATTGCACATCCGGTCCCTATCCCCAAAAGTATTTCCTTCGTTCACCTACAATTTAGATCTCTCTCATCCAAGCACACAACATAAAGCACATTCATGAATTAATTTGTGTATCATTAGACTTTTTCAAAATAGTAACTTAACATCCATCACAATCCACAAGTGGCTGACTTTTAATTTAAACAAATATGATGACGAGTTAGTTACCATTTAACCATATGCTGCAAGATGTGACTCAACACTTGATTCAGGTTGCACATATGACTCTTCTAGATTCTTTTGGTCTCATGCACCCGATTGTCTTTTTATGGCTAGCTTTCACATTGATATGCCTTCATCAATCCTGCAGGTTTTCAACCTTTATTCATGTGCTGTGAAACTTCCTTTTGTTTCCATCTTTTTTTATTGTCTTTGAGCATCTTTCTGAAACATTACTGACTCTTTAAAGAGAGGGGGTGGGGTGGCCACAGATTGACGCGAAACCTGTACCTTACAGGATTGACGGCACACCAAGCAGCTCTTTTCCACAGCATTCTCAGGTCACAAGTATAATCTGAATCATATGTACACCCTGAACCCATACCTGCACCAATCTCTGCACAACTTGACTTATTAGTCAAGATTACACACACAAATTGCATTTCTTAATGTGATGAAATGGTTAAGAACAAGAGATTTAGTGAATATATCAGTCATTTGTAAATCAGTGACTACAAGTTCGATTACTACCTGATTTTCTTCAACTAATTCTCTGATGAAGTGATGCCTGATGTAATGTGCTTTGTTCTTGAATGTTGAACCGGATTCCTCGAGATATCAATTGCACTTTTGTTATCACAGTATATTAGAAATGGACCATAGTGCATTCCATAATCAGCTGACATATGTTTCATCCAGAGAAGTTGTGAGCACCAGTTACCCATAGAAATGTATTCAGCTTCTGTCGTAGAAAGTGACACAGAGTTTTGTTTCTTGCTCAACCATGAGATAAGATTGTTTCCGAGAAAGAAACATCATCCACTTGTGCTTTTCCTACATTAGCACATTCTGGCCAGTCAGCATCACAATACCAACCAAGTTCTGGTTGGAGTTCTTCGAGTAGTATACTCCTAGATTCTTGGTTCCCTTGACATACTTGATGATACGCTTAACAACATTCAAGTGTGATACTTTAGGCTTGCTTGATATCTTGCACATACTCCAACACTGAATGATAAGTCTGACCGGCTAGTGGTTAGGTACATCAGACTTCCAATCATCCCTTGGTAGATCTTTCTATCAACATCTTCTCCACTTTCATCCCGAGCAAGCTTTAATGAAGTACTCATTGGTGTTTTGGAAACCTTGTTATTTTTAAGACCAAACCGATTTACTAAGCTGTGTGCGTAGGATTTTTGAGAGATGAATACATCCTTGCTTGTTTGATTCACTTGAAGCCCAAGAAAG